GATTCTGCAGGAAGGTAATATGGGCTATAAAATTACCCTAAAAACATCAGGAATTTGAGAAAGTTTCTCTGAACTACCCTACATAATTCTAGAGAGATAAATATTAAATTCTATGGACTATTTAAATTAAATTGTTTAAAAAAAACAGATGCGTTAAGTGATGTTCATTATCTAGGCTAGATTGTGCACACAGCCTTGTAATAGAGGCAGCATATAGCTGTGTTGTGCAATGGGCAGGGCAGCGAAAGCACTGCGCCCTCAGAACTCTTCCCTTGCTCACACCAGCAGCAGATTACTATTACCCACCACGTGGACTCAGTTACTTTGTCTAGTGCGCTGATGAGGAGAAGGCAGAGTCAAGGCTCTACCACCCAGTCCTCATCCTTCTCTGTCTACTCCTCACCCACTGCTTCAGAGAGCGGTGCTGGTACTGATTGTGAAATAGAAGGCACACCAATTAGTCCCCTTTATGCAGCGCTTCACCTGTAATGAAAGAGGAGCTAGGGCTCAGGCTATTTTTTAAACATTCACAACTGATTTAGCGAGCACAGATTTCTGTGCTCCATCTATAAAAAAAATCCCCTTTCATTTGTGTTATAAAATTGAAGTATTAATGTAAGTCATGATATTGGTTTAACATCCTTGATAGATTAGAAATAACTAGAACATAACAGCCATTCTGGATCAGACCTAAGATCCATCTAGCCAAGTACCCGGTCTTCTGACAGTGAGCAATGCCAGGTAACACAGAGGGAACATACAGAACAGGTCATCATTAAGTGACCATTGCCCATTCCCAGCTTCTGACAAACAGAGGCACGGGACACCATTCCTGCCCATCCCGGCTAATAGCCAATGACGGACTGATCTTCCACCCACTTATCTAGTTCTTTTTTTAAACACCATTATCCCTGAACTACAATCCATGCAATCTATACCGACACAAAAAAAATCCAGACACCATTCTTAAAATGCACACGCATTCAAACCCAACTGATCTCTATGGGCCAAATAGTCTTCCCAGATATATTGTTGATCTCCACCGGCCTACCTGAATTTACATATGTACAAACAACATACATCACTTCCTTCTCTTTTAAAGAAACACTTATTCACGTGAGTAACGCCAGTAGCACCATCAGGGTCTAGTTAAGTTGTGCTTTTATTTTCTACTTGAGATAATGAGCTTGGGCACTGTTACTATACATGGGCTTATAAAACCCTTACTCGTATTAGTGATTAATTACTCACATAAGCTGTTCCACTGATTGCAATAGTCTGTTCATGCAACTAACTGTTCACAGCATATGGGGTTATTAGTCTGGTCCTATAGGAAAATCTAAATTAAATCTTATGTCATACAAGATGTCTTATACCCTCCACTATGAGAAAAATGATAGTACTGGAGGAGAGAAAGTTGTTAATATGCAAATGATTAAATCAAAATGTGGTTATCCATTACCTTTTTAATCCACAACCAGGGTTTAATGTTACTTTGTTTTTACATGACTATTATAATATCATCAGTAACATTTCTGGAAATGTTTACAGTTTTATCTCAGTCTATTGTATATATTTTCTACTAGCAATTACAAAAAAAAAAAAAAAAAAAAAAGACACAATAGTAACCTTTTCTTCCCCAAAATTACCTGCATAGTTTCACAGAACAAGTTAAGTAACAGTACATGGTAAATCTGAAGGGGGAGGAGAGGAACATTCCTGTCAATGTCTCCACACTTTTCTAAACATTATGAAAAACAACTATATTTTTAGAATCCTAGAAAAACTCTGAGTAATCATGATATATATTCTCCAGTTTCCAATGTTGATATAAAAGAGAGGGGTGGGTGAGAGAAGGAGGAAGCAAACGTTATGAGAAAATGTCTGAATAGTTTTAAGCAAGAAAAGGAGCTAGATACTTACTGTGTCCTGAGATTTATCTTTGACATCGTAGACTGTTAGTTTTATTTTAGTCTCCTCATAGATAGGATATTCCGGTGGGAATGTCACACCAGTCAAAAACAGTGGGTCTCTTGTTCCCTGTATAGCACAACAGCTCAGATTCAGTAAGGTGGCAGCTGTGTACTGTACAATACAGAATTATGGACAAGTGTGCAGAAACTATGGAGCTTTAAGGAAATATATCTGCTACAGTAAAGAGAAACATGAACTGCCCAATGCTACCAAAGTCAGCAACTTAAAGCTCATAAAACTAGCAAATGACGACAAATGCCCTCATGTGGCCCTGTCACCATAGATCAGTACTCTTAATAGGGTTCAGTGATAAACAATTCTTTTTAAAATAAGATGTTTTATAACCGTGTTTCCTTAGGGCTGTTATTGTGTACATAGATATAATTTGTGCAAACAACTAAAGATGTTGGTTGATTAAATCATCCAAAAGAAAAGCTCTCAGTAATACCAACACAGTTTCTAAAAAAAGGATGAGCTTAAGTATCATGCTGACAATTCACTCAATTTCTTAACCAATGATTATCTTCTCAAGTTAAACATGTAATCATTGCATTTTGCAGGTTTAATTCCAAACCTACCTCAGACTGACTTGTATAATAACTCTATACCAACAGAGGTAGACATTCTCTTGCTAAGTATCTGGTTCAAAATGTATAGCATAATCTCCTAAACATTATTTTGACTACAGACTTTGGATATTACATTTTCTTTTTTTAAAGAATACAACAGTAGGGTCTGATGGAATCCAGCAGACTGTTAGTTTTCTAATTACCTTTAGCAATTTAAAAATCATGCTACACTAACAACTATAGTCAGTGCTAAGATATGAAAACTTCTAAACATAGTATATGAAGCCATTGTTGTCATTTCTTTGGCATAAACATATATAGGAAATTACATACAAACTTGTAAAGATATTTTCTCAAAACACATTAAATTTCCTAATAATTCAAAGCAAGCTTTTAGCATAACTCACATAACATTTGCCTGGTGTACGTTCCATTGTTAATGAAATCTAGCAAGTACTAAAAAGGAAGTATCCTAACCACAGACACCCAGAGCGTGAACATGACAAATTCAGAGCTCAGTTCAGAATCCGGGTCGTCCCCATAATAGAAAATGAATCTACTTATGTCTGAATCATCTATTCCACCTACAGCCATACAACAAGCTAGGAGGTCTGCACTGAACCATCCTGATCTCTTACAGGCTATTTGAGTAATGCAGTTTCAGGATGGCTGACAATTCAAATCATGACAACTGAATTAGCAGTCAGCTGGAATCAGAAGATCACACACAGTGCTTATGAAACAGTCCTATGGCTTAGATTTGTCACACAGCTCACTATCTGTTAAAGTAATTTTTAATTTGTTTGAAAGGGAGACTCTTTCCTGATTTTAATGATCCTCTCCAATACTTTGTACACACAGTTATGTTTACGTTACATTGTTTAACTTATGCAGTTATTGTAGAAAACAAACTTTACTGTTTATGAGATTGATATTTTGGGAGAGAATTCAAACACTAGCAAAGCAACATCATGCAACTTTTGCTTCAAAACATAAAGCCGATTATTAAATCTATACATACCCCTCATTTTCCAATAAAAAAAATAAATAAAAACTTTTCAATCTGCAAAAACATCAAGTTTTCACTGAGGGGAGAATAAAACAAAAATGAAAAGACAACACACTACATAATGCATACTATATTCTTCAGTGATTAAAATGTTTGACAAGAACTCATTGCCACTCATATGCTATCTTAATTTTACATAGCTTTATTTCTTAATGAGAGCAAATATTTTCCAGATCATTCTAAAGCTATGTCTGAAAAGCCAGACTATTCTTTAGGTCTCCTGTTGGAAAAAAACAGACCTTTCATGAACAGGCAAGATCATTTCAGACTGTTTATCCTGGTTACATGCCAAGAACTGCAGACCATTCTCAGGTATGCTTTGCTAATAGCTACAATAAAGCTTGCCTATTAAAGACCATGCACTAACTTGGTTCAGCTGTTCATTTACTTTCTAAGGAAATAAACTGAAATGTAGTAATGAATGGTAATGTAATAAAAGGAAGCTCACCTCCACAATTTCAGTGCTTGAATATCTCATCAAAGTCTGTTCTGTTGGATGTACTACTGAGATCTGTACAAATGTATTCAGCTTCCGATCACGGGCACTAGCCACTAGATCCTTGCATGCTGGAAATGGTACAAGAGAAAACAAAACTCTAAAAACAAATCTGAGAAAAAACTCTGACATGGGACAAAGCAGACTAAACTACAGCTCTGGATTAAACAGCAGAAAGACTGAGCTGATTTAGCAAAGGAAGTCTCTTGGAAGTACCTTACAGAAATAGGAAGTCACATGCTGCAGAGCTGAATTGAGACGTCGTTTCCACTAACCACATTTGCAGCTCCTGCAGGACTCCCGTGCCAGATACTCATCAACTCTTTTATATGAACACATGCACAGCTGTGACAGTGGGAAACTTCAAAATTAAAACATCTGCTTTCAGCTAATTTGCTATGAACTTTCTCTTTCTCTGAGGGAACCTTACTTGGTCATCTTTTGTCTGGCAAGCTTCATGGTATTTGAGTGCTTCCAGAAAATTCTAAACCAATTAACATTTGTTGCTGATTACACTGGTTTAGATGTTCTAACACCACATTATCAATTTCTTGATTAGTTCTAATCATAGGGTAAAGCTGACAAAAATCAACTGTTATGTCAGTGACTGACAGATATAAATGGGAAAAATAATTGCACTCTGGCTATAACACATCATTATTAAAACTCATTTTCCTGGATAAATATGAAGGAATTCAGTTTTTAATTAATAATGATTTTCAATCTAGACTGAAAACTATGCAATTAGTACCTCACACAGCCCTGCAAGTGAGAGAGTATACTTTCCAGACCCAGTCTCTCATGTTTACAAAAAAAAAAAAAAAAGCAGAAAGGGCTGCAAAAGCAGTTCCTCTCCCTTCCTTCAGCCATGAGTAGTAGCAGAAGCACAGCTGAATTGCTGTGCAGCAACAAACATAGCCAATTGGTACCAATGTGAATTGACTCCAGAGCTGGATGGAACCTACTATGCAGCTCTCTTCAGTTAAAAAAAGGCCCCTAGAAAGTGAGGTGTGATGGGATTTACTAATTTTTTCAATTCACCAGTAGTACCCTAGCAATCCCACCAATCCAGGCAGAGGTTAATTCTTGTTAAAGGTGATTTCAGGGCTTTACTGCCAGCTTGGAACTCATCTAAATGCAGCTGACCTTCAGATTCAGCACCTTAAAGAAGAGCTGTGTTACTCTCCAAGCAAGCTACCTGGCTCTGATGAGAAGGCAGGATGGAAGTTCTGGAGAAACAAAACATGCCTAATTTGGTTTGTATTTTTCTGCTCTGTGTTTGGAGTTTATTGTGTTTGGAATGCCTTACAGACCACATAAAAGGAAAGCAGCCAGAAACTTTCATTGTTTTTGTAGTATTATTAAATCAAAACCTGGAAACAATAAAGCACAAGCCCCAGAGGGCATTTTGAGGTTTCTGTTTAAATCTGGATACCCAGTGAAGTCTACTGTTAGACACTCTCACACTGGTCCTTCCATAGCTTAGTCCTGAAACCAGGAATACAAACAACCTCTGTACTTGGCGAAGTCCTCACAACATGCCTGATATAATAGCAACAGTGCCAAAGGGCAACTCAGAAGCAATTTCTGAAGCCACAACTTTAAAAGCTCACCAAGGCTGTGTCCAGACTCAATGGTTTTTTCGAAAAAAGTAGCCTTTTTTTGAAAAAACTTCACTTTCGTCTAGACTACAGCCGCGTTCTTTCGAAATTAAATCAAAAGAACGTGGCTTTTCTTTCAACGGCGGTAAACCTAATTCCATGAGGAAGAACCGTCGAAAATAAGTGAGTGTGGACGTGGGGAGGCCATTTTTTCAAAAATAATGGCTTCCAGGAAGAAGCCCTGGTGGACAATGTGGGGCATGCCTTGCATGTCTCTGGTTCCTGTCTGCAGCCATTTGTTAAAGGGACAGGCACCCTCACAGCCACTTGTGGCAGCAAAGCAGCTAGAGCACACGGCTGGTTAAGTGCAGCATGTCCCAGCCCCAAGACCCTCCTGGCCCTTCTAGAGAGCCTTCTGGGGACCCAACCAGGGGCTCCAAACGCCGGGCACCAGCATGGTCTGGGCCAGAGCTCAAGACCCTTCTCGAGCTCTGGGGAGAGGAGGAGGCCTTACAAGCCCTAAAAAGCAGGCGGCGAAATGCGGACATTTTTGGCTGCATGGCAGAGGCCCTGGCCCAGAGAGGACACTACCTCCGCACCCAGGACCAGGTGCGCTCCAAAGTTAAGGAGCTGCGCCAAGGTTATGTCAAGGCCGGGGAGGATAGCTCCCGTTCTGGGGCAGCCCCTCACTCCTGCCCCTATTATTCTGAGCTGGACCAGATCCTGGGTGGTCCAGATCCTGGCATCTCGTCCAGTCTGGCTTGATTAACTATTACCAGGCAGGTGTCATCTGATGCCGGAGATGAAATGACGGCGACCCTCACCCTGGAGCCAGTCACATAGACCCCAGAGGCCTCCCAGGTGTCATCTGATGCCGGAGATGAAATAGCAGGTGAGTGCAGTGAGGTTGTGTAACACCCGGGGGAGGGAGGTGGGTGCACAGTGGGTGATGCACAAGGGAAACCTGTGATGCTCAGGCTGATGCCCAGGTCACACACGGTGTTACCTTCAGAATGTCTGATTCCCCTGTCTCAAGGAGTGGGCATGCCCTTTTGGACAGCTGTTGCACACATAACTGATTGTGACAGAAATGTAGCCGAGTTAGTCTGATCTGAGGAACTGGGTCTGGCCCACGAAAGCTCATCCCCTAATAAACCATCCTGTTAGTAGTTTAAGTGGTACATAATCCAGTTTTTTATGACTGATTGCGTCTTCCTCTTTTCCTCCACAGCCGGACCAGCCGTGCAAGAGGGCCGCAGCACCTCAGCCCCACCTACATCTCGGGGACATGGGAGCCGCAGACACAGGCGTGTGTATGCGGACATCATGAGGCAGCATGTGGTGGCCGTGCAGGACCTCAACACCATCCTGCGAGAGAGGGCGGAGGCAGAGGATCGGTGGCATGACCGGCGGATGGAGGAGCTGGTCCAGCAGCGCACGTCCCTGTGTGCCACTCTCAGGGAGGTCTGCGGCTTGCCTGCTCCTGTGCCTGGTCCTGCTCCTCCAGCACCCCATGACCCTGACCC